GACCCAGTAACAAGAACGCTGTATCCAAGGCTTCCCAATATTATTTGTCCAGCTCAGCCACCTACTGCATACACTGTAAACATGGCTAGTTCCATCGCCTTGGACTGCCACCACCAGGAACCACAGGCTGGGCGGCTTCAACCACAGAAACGAGGCTAGGTGCCAGCAGATCGGGCTTCTGATTGGGGCTTTCTCTGTTCTCACAGTCACATGCGTTCCTGCTGTGTCCATACGTGGTGGACAGTGAGAGTGAGAGAGAGAAGAGGGAGGAAAACCGGCCCTGTTCCATTGTCTCTTCTCATATGGATATTAATCCTAACCCATCAGAGCCACACTCTTCCGACCTAATTTAACCTCAGTGCCTGTGTTACAGATTCATTCCCCCTCAGCAGCCACACAGCGGGCTAGGGCTTCAGCATAAGGATTTTGGAGGGGCAGGGTTCAGTCTGCCACTATGGGTAATCTAACTGGGCACCGCGGTTACACGTGGTATCAGTGCTGCCCCCACCCCGCGTTGCTCCTCACATATCCAAGCTCATGAAGTCTCTGACCCTGGAGGACCGTGTCCTGGGGCCCTTGCCATCCTATTCTGAAGCTGCCTTGGACAAAAAGCGCGCAGGGAACCAATCACGAAGCACACGTTTACATCTGCTCAGTACAGGGTCCCTGTGCTGATGTCTTTCTGCAGTTTCCATCAGGAGACGTGGCGTGCTGCCAGTTCCTGAAGCCAGGACGCCGCCAGGCAAAGCTACGGTCTCCCGCCCGCCTGGAGGTTCCAAGGAAACGTCCGGTATCCACACTGCATCCCAGAAATAACAAACACTGCTCAAGTAAGCAGCTGCCTGCCTCCAAACTGAAAAGCTGCACATCTTTTTTTTTTTTAATTTTCTAAGATCTTTGTGGTGACACAACTATTGTGCACTGCACAGCCGTTTGTGATGACCTCAAAGCCCAAGGGACGCTCAAGAACCAGTCAGTGAGCCTCGTTCTGGACGCAGCCAATGCTGATCGCACTTGGCTCAAGTGCTGTAGACGCCGATAACTTCCTCTGGGTCAGCGTTTCCTGGGCTATGACTCCACACTCTGTTCACTGAAGAGAGATGGTGACGAATTTCCTCTGAGACAGATTAGTCATGCCATTGCCACTGCCACAGCACCGCACATCCGCAGTTACCTGTCGCTGGGAGACTTTAAGCAGGGAATGCTGAAGGAGCACTGGAATGAGCGGATCATCTCCCTTCCCGCCCTACTCATTCCTAAGGCACTGTCTGTTCTCCACCATGCAGGAACATTACTTTCAGTTGGACAACCACTAATCTCCAATGCCGCGTTCCTTCTGAAAACATTCAACACTTACAAGGCACAACACTGTAAGATATAGCGCTTGCCTAGAAGAAATCATTGAGAAATGCAAGTATATGAAAAACTACATCTAATTTTAAAGTGTGTTATCTGCACATATTATTTTAACAAAGATTGTTTAATAAAGATTAGTACTGATGTGACACATTACAAATACAGAAATAAGGGCAAAATAACATTATGCTATATAACACTACACACACACACACACAGAGAGAGAGAGAGAGAGAGCGAGCCATGTTCCTCACTCTCCTCTGGGGGAAGAGGCTATTTGTTTGTTTGTTGTTGTTGTTTTGACAGGCAGAGTGGACAGTGAGAGAGAGAGACAGAGAGAAAGGTCTTCCTTTGCCGTGGGTTCACCCCCAATGGCCGCTGCTGCTGGCGCACTGCGCTGATCCGAAGCCAGGAGCCAGGTGCTTCTCCTGGTCTCCCATGGGGTGCAGGGCCCAAGCACTTGGGCCATCCTCCACTGCACTCCCGGGCCACAGCAGAGAGCTGGCCTGGAAGAGGGGCAACCGGGACAGAATCCGGCGCCCCAAGTGGGACTAGAACCCGGTGTGCCGGCGCCGCAAGGTGGAGGATTAGCCTAGTGAGCCACGGCGCCGGCCAAAGAAGAGGCTATTTGGACAACTGCTTGTTGGAACCATGGATAGGGAGATTCATGTGGCTACCAAGGCTATGGGGAGCCACTGAGTGTCCTGTAGTGCAGAGCCTCTTTGACACATGTCTGTAAGAAACTCTCACAACAAACTGGAAGAAAATAGACTAATGCAATTTTCGATTATTCATCACACAAGATGAATCCTGGTTCAGATCCAGAATAGGAACCCACCAGCACTATTTCCCCAACACTGTGCACACGTGTGTATCCAGCATAGGAATCCACCAACGCTGTTTCCCAACACTGTGTGCACACGTGTGTATCCAGCATAGGAATCCACCAACGCTGTTTCCCAACACTGTGTGCACACGTGTGTATCCAGCATAGGAATCCACCAACGCTGTTTCCCAACACTGTGTGCACACGTGTGTATCCAGCATAGGAATCCACCAACGCTGTTTCCCAACACTGTGTGCACACGTGTGTATCAGCATAGGAATCCACCAACGCTGTTTCCCAACACTGTGCACACGTGTGTATCCAGCATAGGAATCCACCAACGCTGTTTCCCCAACATTGCATGCACACGCGTCACTTGGGAATCCTAAAAGCTTTGCAGATTTTGCTAGTCAGTCTGGGGCAGGGCTGGAGGTTTTATGTCCCCTCAAGTGTGCTTTGCTTGTCCAGCCCTGGCATCCTTTCAACGCTTGACGAGGTGACAACAAAGCGAACAAAATCATTGCTGCAAAGTGCCTGGAGGCTCTCCAGGTGTCACGCACAGGGCACCGGCACCTTCCACATGGCCTGGATGCTCCAAACGCTGGCCCCGGGCCTCAGCTGTACCCACGGAACCTGAAACTGGCTGGCGCCCAGGACTCTGCATTGTAGCATGCCTTCAGGGGTCAGATGGGCTCTGATGTTGGAGAACTACTCGGAAAGGCTTTGCACTGTTAATCAACGTAGAATTTTTCAAGACCTGGGATCCGGTGGGACCACCTGTTCCTGGCAGACAACCTCACCTTATCCCCAAGCCCAGGGCAGCCCTCACACCCAGGGGTCCTTGGAATCCACTCTCTGTTGATTCCGATTCAGAAGGTCTGAATTATTATTTTAAACGTACATACAGGTGGGTTTCAGACTCACGGACCCAAAGGCTGCTTGTTCTTAAAGGGGTGGGGAGGCTGATTTTAACACATGAACTGTAATATGTGAGAAACACTTCATCACGCAGCCAAACCTCCCTGAAGGTTATGAATGGACTTCCACCTGGGGAACAGTCAGGCAGACAAGCGCTGCGCACACGAAAGGCAATAATGCAAAATAATTGCTGCTATGACCCCGTGTCTCCCATCAAAACAACCCACAAATTAATTCCTGCAGTCCAGTTTAACTTGTCCCTATGTAACACTCAACCTAGCAGCTATCGCCTATCAATGAAGAGACAAACATGTCCAATCTCTCATCGAAACGCATCTTTTAGATTGCAGACTCACGTCTCTCTCTGTGGGAAGCAGACATTCTGCAGGCTAAACACCCCTCCCCCATCAGCGGGAGCTCCCCTGTCTCCTAAGGGTATTCTACTCAGACTGGCTGGGACGAGCGGAAGTCCCACGATGCCGCCTTCTTCTTTGTGAAATCAATCAGAATGAATAATAAGCAAAGGCGACTACTTTTTCTAGAAAAAACAAATGCTTTAAAATTGAAGACAGGATTTCAATCATAGTTTAAATTTACCTTTTGTTCCTAACGAAATATTGCAAATTTAGAGGTTTACAGATTTCTGATTTATTTATTTATTTTTTTCTGAATGAGCCAACAACAGGTTTAAAATCTTCTTTGGACAGATGGTTTACCAGGCAGATTTTTCCATACATTGTTATATAATTAACTTTTCACCATAAATGTTTGATTTCATAGTCTTAAGATGGATACTACTTTACAGTGGTATTATTTTAAAGTTTCATCTCATTTTCTACGAGATTAACTGCTTTCTGGTTTCTGGCTGTCCATTCTCCCTTATATTTTTCAACTGTCTAAAACCAGACATTTACATGATTTTCACCAAGATTAATATTTCCTTCATTCAGAAGTTTTTTCTCATTCCAAGTGGCCACCTTTTGGTCCTTCCGTGCACAGCCCAGACATTAATAGCATAGCATGACCACTAGTTGCTAAGCATTTAAAGTCGCTACCTTTCTCAGGCAGAGCGCACAGTCACAGCAAGGTGATCAAAGACAGACTTGGTCTACAGTGAGTATTAAGTTACCACACGACAACTCATTTCCTTACAAAGGACTCATCACCACTATTAGGTCACAATCTGACGAAGGCTCCTAATGCAATCAAATGCATACAAAGACGTATATACCCTGAAAGGTCAGTGTTGGCTTTGGGAAAACAGGCGCTCCCTGCAGCCCACCAGGACCAAGCCCTATGGGAGGAGGGCTGCACTGTGTGTTTCCCTGGTAATCTGTGCAATCCTTGTGCCCAAGAGGCTTATCAGCCGAATTCACCTAAAGCAAGAGCTAACAAACTTCTTCTCTAAAGGGCCAGGGAGTAACTATGTCACAGATACTCTATGGTGTGCCTCAGGTAACACGGAGACATGTGTTTATGGCTATACTCTAATAAAACTTTATTTACAAAAATATAGAGTGGGCAGGATTTGGCCCACGAATGTAATTTCTTGACCTAAATACTATTTTGTTTATAATACTATTTTGCTATAAAGAAGTCACATAAAGTATTCTCTGCTTAGATAATAAATGTATTCATGAAAACATTACAGGCAATAATTTTACAGATCTTTAAATAAGGGAATACGAAAATAGTTTCCAAGGTATTGGCTTCAGTGACGTTTAACAACCTGTTATCTAAGCTTTGTCAGTGCCTTCATTGAGTCTCTAAATATTTTGTTGACTCAACATAGAAGAGTAGAAACAATAAAAGCAGACACCAGAGGTTCTTGCTAAGGTATTGCTAGCATACTACTCCGACCCGTGAGTGAAACAGTGATCAGAACAGCAGGGGAACTGACCTCGACAGGAAATCCGAGAAAGACAGACGGGCAGGGTATCCGCGTCGGAAAATCTTCACCACCTCCAGGACCCCGATATACTGCAGCTGGGCAGACACGTAGAAGTTATCAAAGGTGTCTGGCAGCCTTGAGTCATTGGGCTTGATGCAGTGAATGAAGTGTGGAGTGCACTTCTGGAGTTTTCCAATGATGTCCGCCAGCGATTTCTAGGGAGAGAAGTAGCCCAGTGACTCTCCCAGGGGAGACCGACTCAAACTATAAAGCAGTTGTTTAAGAAGTCTTTATCTCAGTCCACGGCTCTTGTGTATTATGCTTTATTTACCGTGAGTGTGTGTGAGAGTGTGCCTGGGGGCTTGTGTGAGTGTGCACATGTGAGTGTGTGTGAGTGTGTGTGTGAGTGTGTGCATGAGGGTGTGTGTGTGTGAGTGTGTGCCTGGGGGCTTATGTGTGTGCATATGTGTGTGTGTGCCTGGTGGCTTGTGTGTGAGTGTGTGTGTGTGTGCGTGGGGGCGTGTGTGAGGGTATGTGTGTGTGCATGGGGTGTGAGTGTGTGTAGGGGGCATGTGTTGGGGGTGTGTGTGTGCATGGGGGCGTGAGTGTGTGTGCGTATGAGTGTGTGCACGTGTGAGTGTGTGTGGGTATGTGTGTGAGTGTGTGGGGGCGTGTGTTGGGGGTGTTTGTGTGAGTGTGTGCATGGGGAGTGTGTGGGGGGGACGTGTGTTGGGGGGTGTGTGAGTGTGTGCATGGGGCGGGAGTGTGTGTGCGTGTGTGTGTGCACATGTGAGTGTGTGTGTGAGTGTGGGGGTGTGAGTGGGTGTCTGCATGGGAGCATGTGTGTGTGAGTGTGTGCATGGGCGTGTGTGAGTGTGTGCATGTGTGAGTGTGTGTGCATGTTTGAGTGTGCATGCACATGTATGTGAGTGTGTATGAGTGTGTGTGGGTGTGTGTTGGGGCATGTGTGATTGTGTGCACATGTGAGTGTGTGTGTGTGAGTGTGCACGCACGTGTGTGAGTGTGTGTGAGTGTGCACACACGTGTGTGTGAGTGTGTGTGAGTGTGTGTGCTGGGCGTGTGTGTGTGTCTCACTGGTTTCTGAAGGTCCTGGGTGTCAGCAGTGGAGAACGCACTGCACAGGTCCTCCCCGCAGAATCCAGAGCTCCGCTCACCCTGAGCCGCGATGCTGATGTGGCGGGGTCGCCCCTTCCCAGCCTGTGCAGAAACGCAGACGTCCCTTTCTTTTTTAATAACTGTAATGAGAGCAGGGTGGGAGGGAGGGGGAGGGAGGGAAGAAGGAAAAAGAGTATGTGGATTTTAGTGAATTTTAGTTTGAGGGGAAAGAAAGTATTAAATCTTGTGTTGATGTAAATTCACTTATAGGCAAACACACTTGAAACACAAACGGTAAAATCCAAACGATGTGCTGTGATGTGACTGCACACGGAAGAAATGGGCAACCACACTGGAATAAGAACCGCTCCTGCCACGTGTTCAAACACACGGCTGGTGTGTGAGACAGATCCAGCGCCGTCGCCCTCGCTCTGATCTGAGAACAGACGTGGTTCACGTGGTAGGACAAACTCTCTGCCGTATCTTGGTTGTGTCCCTAACTGTTCACATTTATCCCAAAATGTAGCTTCCTTTGGGGGCAACATTATACTATTTTATAAGACAATTTGACGTAATAATCACGGATTTTCCCATAGATTTAACTGCAGTCAGGAATTCTTTGAATATATGCGGGCTTGTTTTTTTTTTTTTTTTTTTTGACAGGCAGAGTGGACAGAGAGAGACAGAGAGAAAGGTCTTCCTTTGCCATTGGTTCACCCTCCAATGGCCGCCACGGCTGGCGCTGCGCTGATCTGAAGGCAGGAGCCAGGTGCTTCTCCTGGTCTCCCATGGGGTGCAGGGCCCAAGCACTTGGGCCATCCTCCACTGCACTTCCGGGCCACAGCAGAGGGCTGGCCTGGAAGAGGGGCAACCGGGACAGAATCCGGCGCCCCAGCCGGGACTAGAACCGGGTGTGTCAGTGCCGCTAGGTGGAGGATTAGCCTAGTGAGCCATGGCGCCGGCCATTGATGCTTTCTTACTCATGGTTCCTCCCTCCTTTTCTTGTTCTTTTTTTAATTAGTAAAAAGGATTAGTAAATTTTGCACCTGTGAAAATTGACAACAGACTGTTTTTAAAACAAGTAATTATGTACGGCTCTTTAAAAATCATATGGAACACAGGGTAGATGATAACGGAGATAAAAATCAGTGGAAGTAAGGCCAGTGGGAAAAGAAATAAAAGGCAGAAGTTAATTAATGAAATTCTGTCAGGGCCCAAGGACCCCAGCCACTGACGTACCAGCACATTTCACAAAGTCCCAGAGACTCGGGCCAACCCGTCTACTGATCTAAAATCATTCCTCCCTCTCAAAAGAAGACAGTCTTGATGGAGGGAAAAGTTCTGGTGGAACCTTCCTGACAACCGGGCGCTCTCGCCACTGCACCAATAGCTCATGTCCTTCCACTAGGATGAACCGCGGAGCTGAAGTGATTCGTGGGAACCGACGAGGGGCCGTCCAATAAACCGTGGGCAGAGACCAGACTGCTGTCCACAAACACAAGGCAGGGCGCCGCTCAGCTAAAGAGTGGGTGAAACGCGACTCTCCTGACCACTCCAGTGGGTATGCGGGAGGGAGGAAACGCGGGTGTGAGGAACGGAATGCTGACAGAGCAACCACACTAAACACACCTCCACCCTGACATCCAGCGCTTCCCCCTCTGAGTGGAGGAAGGGCTGGGAGTGATCTCCCTCTCGCACCCCTTAGGCAGCAGACTAACGGCAGGTGGGCCTCCCACTGTTTAATAACTGAGGCTACACAGCACAGTGCAGAGGTGCGTGGAGATTCCTGGCTCTTGATTTTCCGGGAGACTGAGAGAGGGGGGGAAAGCTCTGTGGGAACCAGGAGAACAGGAATCTTCCTCAGAGCGGGCGGCCTGGGCTCTGCCTTGGTTATGTAAGCAACGCCCTTTTCTGGCCCATGAGACTGAACTCTTATGATCACCTTTTTTTTTTTTTTAAAGATGTAGTTTATTTACTTGAAAGGCACAGTTACAGAGAGAGACAGACAGATACAGAGAGATCATCCATCTGCTGGTTCATTCCCCACATGGCTGCAACGGCCAAGGCTGGGCCAGGCCAAAGCCAGGAGCCAGGAGCTTCCTCTGGGTGGCCCATGCAGATGCAGGGGCCCAGCACTCAGTCCATCCTCCACTGCTTTCCCAGGTGCATTAGCAGGGAGCTGGATGGAAGTGGAGCAGCCGGGACTCGAGCCAGTGCCCAGTGGGATGCCCGCATGGCAACAGTGGCCCAACTTGCCACGCCACAGTGCCAGCCCCATCACCTACTTCTGTAACGCCTACCTCCACGGGTCCGTCATCTAAACTGCAGACACACATGTGCACACACACACACACACAGTAACACACATTTCTGACACTCTGAGGAGTGAACCATCTCTTTCTTTGTAACTGTGACTTTCAAATAAATAAATAAATGTTTAAAACAAAATTAGTATAATACAAACATAAGTTAAAAACTAAAAATACACCGTGAAAATCTTCCAGCATACAGAAAATACTCTATAATAAAGAAATTCACTGTTTAAAGAACAAAACCGCGGAACTAATTCCTATCAGTAAAAGAAGTAGCTAAGTGTGTTCCTTCTACGTCTACTGCCCTTAAGTTACCGTTCACTCATCAAACAGTGACGGACATGAAACAGAAGCAGAACGAAGCGCAGTCGGCCAATAAGATGAGTGGCCCTGCACGCTACTGAACTGTGACTCTAGGACGCTTTGTGAAGCTCTTGTCTCTCTCTGAAGGTCACATCCCAGGCAGGCATGCGTTCCTGGACATCAACTTCTTTCTGTTGGTGTTCAAAACCACGCTTTGCACACACACCAAGCAAACTTAAAAACAACCAAACGGGAATCACAACAACTCCTACCTTACTGAGTTCAAGATAATTCCTGTTTTCTCCAGTAACGGAAGACGCTGCCATTTTCTTGTTGAGCAGGGCGGACTTATGTCCCCGGAATTTAAAGCAGGGGTACGAAGGGACGAGCGAGCCCGTCTGCGACAGTTTCGACTGGAACAAATGATTGATGACGACATTTTCACTAGCTGGGAAATAAATAAAGGAATACTGTAAGTGGCAGTAGAACCCTTATTTCCTTGAGCATTCACTGTGTTTCCTTACACAAGTGCCTTGACCACTAAGGCATCCGGTACTTGGTGTGGAGGTTGGAGGAGTCTCCCTCCCTGATTCACTGACCGTCTTCATCCTCAGCCAAGAGTCCAGATCTCCTTCCCGGCTTCCCCCGTGCACCTGGCCCCCGGCTCTCTGAGTAACTCTCCCCTTTCTCCTGCTAGTCAGGACAGTTCGATCGTAACAGGCTTCTGTCATGAAGACAGGGGGTTTCTCTCACCAAGTCCCCATCGCAGGAGAAAGACCACCTAGGAAACACTTCCTGGGGACTGGCTGTCTCTCAGAGTGGTGTGCAGACACCTGTGGGAGACCCGGCCTGCACGGATGGCGTGGGTGGTTAGACTGAAGAAAGGAGAAGGCGTTTTTGTTTTTGATCGTCTGTGAAGGCAAAAGCAACCCACCCTATCTTTGATGTTTAGCGACACAAATATCCTAATTCTGGATCCAGGTCCTTCCTGCCACTTCAGGGCGGACACTGGAGCTTGAATGGGAGGAATCTGGGTTACAAACTAGAACGGAGGAGGGAAAACACGCACACAGACAGCTAAGGATGCAGAGGGGACCTTTCTTACGTGATTTACGTCTGTATATAGACAGCTTTTCAGCTAAAATTTCGTAAAACTATGATGAATGTGCCTACCTTGAAGATTACTGCAAAATTAAAATGTGACATCACGTGACCAAATCGCGTAGGATCACGGTGAGGCCATCAATCAGGGAGCAACCTCTAAGCCCACAGCAGTTTAATTTCTATCTTTCTTACACTTGAGTTATTTTGTCTGCCCAGGTGCAAAATACTGCAGATAAAATATCCATCTGCAGCTTCTGGTGAAAAATCGCCACATTAATAAGCATGCAGAGAGCTGTCAGAGAAGGGAGCTGCAACCGTAGACAGGAACAAGGAGGAATCCTGTGGTGTCGTCTAAGGGCCGGAGTCTCCACAGGCATGGCTTTCAATGCGTAGTTACCACTATAATCACTATCTGCCTCTCACGCTTCTGCGTTCTGAGAGGAGCAGGCACCACGTCACCCAGTGCCCAGGTCTTTGCGCTTCCCAATGCCATCTGCTTCTAGGATCAGTCAAGGTTCTCGGACAAATGCCTGCCTTTGAGTTGAGTCTAGGGAGACGATTCCGGAACAGTAACCGCTAGAAAGCACGGAAAATCCATCGGACAGACACAGGAGCTGACCCGACGGGGTCTTCCACGGCCAAGTTTGGACAATTTCAGCAACAACACAGTGATCATAACGGGTTACGACTCACTGGATAAAGAGAACTCACGCGTCCAATCTGATAACAAATAAAGGAGACGTGGAACATCACAGCACACAGAACTACTGAAGGAGCTTAGCAAAACGTGCAAATTGTTATGTAGATCGACTCATGCTGCAACCAGAAAGGGGGATCCGGCCCAGCCTTCCCCGCGTGCAGCAAGGAATAGACTCTCGGCAGGGACGTCCTTCCACACCACGGCCGGAAGAGAGCCTGGTCGCTGGGGCTGCAGTGAGTTGGGATAAACTGGCCAGCTGCCCAGCCCCCCAGTCCATCCCTCCCTTCTGTGGCCTCCCCGGAATAACTGCCGTAGATAAGCGCCCCATCTGCCCTGGCCTTCGACGTCATGGGTTTATTATACGCGGCCTGGAAAACACGGAAGCATCACGCACTGGCCACTTCCTCAGACTTCACTCTTCTGTGTGAATACCTCCATGTAGGCCCGCGATGACGGAGGTGGCTATGCTTCTCTCATGCCCATCAGCCTCGTGTGAACTTGGTCCCCAGATCCAGCCCAAGAGCCCAAGTGGGAACTGAGGGGGAAGTGGGGAACGACCCTGCTCTTACTCCACTGTGCCTGGAAAAACGGGGTTAGAAAACCAGTCTGGGCTGGCGCCGCGGCTCACTAGGCTAATCCTCCACCTAGTGGCGCTGGAACCCCGGGTTCTAGTCCCGGTCGGGGCACCGGATTCTGTCCCGGTTGCCCCTCTTCCAGGCCAGCTCTCTGCTGTGGCCCAGGAGTGCAGTGGAGGATGGCCCAAGTGCTTGGGCCCTGCACGCCATGGGAGACCAGGATAAGCACCTGGCTCCTGCCATCGGATCTGTGCGGTGCCGGCCATAGCAGCCATTTGGGGAGTGAACCAATGGAAGGAAGACCTTTCTCTAAAAAAAAAAGAAAGAAAGAAAGAAAAGAAAAGAAAACCAGTCTGCAATTGTTCAGGAAATAATTGGTTGCAGTGTGCATCACTCACGTCTGCACACCCAGTGGGCGGAAGCTTGCTGAGAAGTGGAGCACTCCCACAGCCCCCACGGGCTTCGCCAGGTCCCCATCAGTACGAAAGGGAAACAGCAACCCTCTGAGGGGCACTGCCTTATCCAAGGGCCTGCAGCTTCCCACGGGCGCTGCCTGTGGGTCCGGTGCTCTGAGAAGGGGCCCCGACACCTGTGCACTTCCTGGCAAAGATGCGTAACTCGCTTCCGACAGGAGGAAACGCCGAGTGAGCCCAAGGTGAGGGGTGCCTACACAGTGTCTGGCCTCCCATCTTCTGAAGTTCTTTAAAATTAATTAATTAGTATTTATGTATCTGAAAGGCAAAGAGAAAGAGAAATCTCCACTGGTTCACTCCCCAGATGCCTGCAGCAGCCAGTCTCTGCAGTCCGTCTCAGTCTGAGCCTCCCATGTGGGCAGCAGGGATCCACGCACTTGAACCATTACCACTGCCGCCCAGCATGTGCACCAGCAGGGAGCTGGGAGAGGCAGGGAGCCAGGACTCCAACCCAGGCATTCTGATACAGGGTGCAGGCGTCCCAGGGGGACCTTTTCTTTTCTCTTCTTTTTTCTTTTCTCCTTCCTTCCTTCCTTCCTTCCTTCCTTCCTTTCTTTCTTTCTTTCTTTCTTTCTTAGATTTATTTTATTTATTGGAAAGACAGAGTAACAGAGAGAAATAGAGGCGGAGAGAGAGGTCTTCCATCCACTGGTTCACTCCCCAGATGGCTACAATGGCCTGAGCTGGGCTGATTTGAAGCCAGGAGCCAGGAGCTTCTTCTGGGTCTCCCATGCAAGTGCAGGGGCCCAAGGACTTGGACCATCTTCTACTGTTTTCCCAGGCCACAGCAGAGAGCTGGATCAGAAGAGGAGCAGCCGGGACTAGAACCGGCGCCCACGTGGGATGCTGGCGCTTCAGACCAGGGCTTTAACCCACTGTGCCACAGCACCAGCCCCAAGGGGATAACTACTGCGCCAAAAGCCTGCCCCTATGGGGAGCAACTGGGAGCAACTCAGACTAGACTAAGTTACTGGAATTAAGACTTATTCTATGCATCTGCTCTCCCACAATATGGCGCTGAGAAGGGAGTAACAACTTCTACGCAGCTGCCTCTCGCCAGCTTGAGTGATGACCTGCAGGAGCTGATCCTGCTCCTGATTGGAGGAGAGCAGCGTACTCTGCGTGTGGGTAGCAGAGTTGGGATTGGTGGAAGAGGACTATAAAGGAGGAGAGAGACAACATGCACCAGGAACATCTATCTGAAGAAACACCTGTGCAGCCCCCGAGAGAGCCGGCCGGCGGTGTGCCGCTCCCCCGCGGAAGTGGGGAAAGTGGCAGGGGGAACCGCCCTTCCACGGAGGTGGAAGGGACGGTAGCCAACCCGGGAAGAACCAGCAGCAAACCCGGGGAGGGCCGAGCAGACGAAAGAACAGCGCAGGGTCCAGTGTCGTTCCTCCATGAAGAGGGGGAGCGACATGCCCCTATCTGAACTTTCATTTAAAAAAAATCAATGTCATGACAGATAAAAACATGGGTGGAACTGGAGGTGGAGTGAAAAAAGCTATGCTCGGAAAAAGAAGGATCACGTGATCTCTGTCATCTGTGGGATCAAAAAGCAAAAAAACCAGGAAATCCCCTGGACGTTAAAAACGTCATGGTTTTCCCCAGCGCCTGGGTCGGGAGGAGGAGGGAGGGACTGGGAAGGGTTGACTTCTGGGCACTGGGTTATAATGACCTCTGTATTACAGAGCCTAGAAGGTCGTATTTTCAATGCTTTCACTACAAAATAATGCTGAATATCTGACAGGATAAACATATTTACCCTAACTGGATACTACAAAATGCATATATAGGACCAGCCTTCACACAGTACCTGATCACCATGCACCATTTTGTATGTATTTTAGAGCTTTTTAAATAAAAAAAAAATTCCAAAAAATAGAGAAAAACAAACAAGAAAGCAAACAAGCAGGAAGAGGCCCCTCCCTCACTTCCCACAAACGAGCCGGAGAACTGTCCCAGAGAAAGGACCATGAGTGTGGCGCACACGTCACGTTGTTTGTATTTTTTTTTCTTTAAGTTTGAAACCACTTCAAACTAACAATTAAATAATAAAAATACATCATGAGCCCATTGAACTTAATAATTATCATTTATACTTAAGCAAGTCTATGATGAATGGATTTACATATAAAAGTGCAATGCTATTCTTATAATTGAGAAAAATTCTTTAATAAAACTGGAAACACTGGCCGGCGCCGTGGCTCAACAGGCTAATCCTCCACCTAGCTGCGCCGGCACCCCGGGTTCTACTCCCGGTCGGGGCGCCGGATTCTGTCCTGGTTGCCCCTCTTCCAGGCCAGCTCTCTGCTGTGGCCCAGGAGTGCAGTGGAGGATGGCCCAAGTGCTTGGGCCCTACACCCCATGGGAGACCAGGAGAAGCACCTGGCTCCTGCCATCGGATAAGCGTGGTGCGCCGGCCGCAGCGTGCCAGCCGTGACAGCCATTGGAGGGTGAACCAACGGCAAAAGGAAGACCTTTCTATCTGTCTCTCTCTCTCACTATCCACTCTGCCTGTCAAAAAAATAAAAATAAAAATAAATAAATAAAACTGGAAACACTACAATAAAAAAGGGCCAAAATAGATGAGTATGTG